GCTACAAAGAATAGAACGTGATCAAGTCAAACTTTCTGACGTGTAGTCAAAGCATCACAGAAAGCAGAATAGTTTAGTAAAATAAAGAGTGCGCCACATTTACACAGTTCAGCTGTTGGTTTCATTTTATTCTGCGAACATATTTACATCGTGACTGTGTTTGCTGATGACTGTAAAGTATTTTTACACATCGGAGCGTAACAAGAACTGATCCAAGAAAATGTTAAAGATTTGTTTTGATGATCTGGATTATTTGAAAAACGTTATTGGAACTCTTTTGATTTTCGCCGCTTCAGATCAATTTGGACTATTTGCCAGTTTATTCAGTCAGAGCTTTGTGGTTTTACACGAGGTCAAAACGATCGTTGCTCTTCATGTTTACGCATTAATCTCTTTTACACGAGTCCAAGTCCAGTTGTTTTTACAGATTCAGTAGATTTGTACACTTTGCCATGAGCACCAGTGAATATTCCCAGTGTGAGACAGAACAGCTTCCTGTGTGATGCGCCAGTGGAAGGCACCACTGCTCTCCACCATGTGTGTGTGACCTGCTCTCTGCTTCTTGAAGGCGGATCTGGCCCCTCAAAGTGTGAATAATATTCAGGGGGGGGGGGGGGCGCTTAAGTTGGAAAGCTTTTAGCACATTATCCGCTGGCAATTGCGAGGTAATCTGATTTTCCAGCGCAGGTCTCTTATTAAATATCTGCAGCAGCAGATTTGCATTCAGGAGCCTCCTAATAGGTTTAGCTGCCTGGCCGGGCTCTGGCTCCGTGTCTGTGTGTGCGCCGCCGTCTCAGAGGGGACAGAAAGTCACACTGAGGACACACACTCACTGAGGACACACACTCACTGAGGACACACACTCACTGAGGACACACACTCATTGAGGACACACACTCACTGAGGACACACACTCATTGAGGACACACACTCATTGAGGACACACACTCACTGAGGACACACACTCACTGAGGACACACACTCACTGAGGACACACACCCAAACACAGAAGCCGACAACACAGAGGTTATCACTTCAGGAGCATGATGCCAGGTGATCCTGGGAATCTTCTAACTTGGATGTGGCTCCCTCTAGTCTCTCATTGGCTGTTGTGAACCGAACAGTGGAAACTGTGTTCATCTAGTACACAAATGTCTATCTAAGGACAGAATGGACCCTGGTCCCTGCAGCAGATGCTTTGTTGTCAGAGCATCTTTCAGTGGAGCAACCTCAGGTGCTGATGAACAGGTGAGAAACGCTGACAGAGCCTCTGCGTCATGAAGCAGCACCTCACACTAAAAAACCATGGGTTATTTTAATAACAGATAGCACAGCTGTTGGGTTGGTTTGACCAGATGTTTTGTCAAAGGTTTGACCCCGTGTCCTGATGCATGCTCAGTGGTTCAGGTAAAAATCCACTGACGTTCAGTCAGGTCCTCTGGACAGGTTCTTTTTGTTGAAACGTTTCATCTGGTTGACCCACCGTGTGAAGGTGCTGTTTATAAGACTGAGTCTGTTGCGGCTCCTCGGACTGATGAAGTCCTTTAGATGAAGGATGAAATGTTTCAACAAGAAGACACCGTCCAGAGGACCTGACTGAACCTTTCTGGACAAGGACAGATGGTGAACACAACATGGTTTTATTAACTTTGCGCTGGTGATTAGACGGCAAGTTTTGTTTGTTTCGTTGGTGCAAACTAGCTGATGCAAAAACCCTGAAGTTCTTAAACTCATGAATATCTAACCAGGATGATCACTGTGAGGAAAAAATCACTGTGATGCCACTTTGATTGTTGATATGTGCTGCTGATTATCCATGCTGCTGATCTCATGCTGCTGATTATCCATGCTGCTGATCTCATGCTGCTGATTTATTTCATGCTGCTGTGTTCATACGTACTCATCTGCTCACACAGACTCATGTTCGTGCTGCTGTTTGGTGTATTGTTTTTGTTCTAGTGTTTACCATATGTCTTAGTTCATATCTTAGATCTTATTATTGTTTTTTTAAATTTTATACTTTTGTTGGATGTAACTGGGACACAGTTTCATTCCACCTCATGTACCACATGTGGCAGGATGACAATAAAGAACCTTGACTTGATAAAATAGCAGCTAGCACCAACCCAATACGTGCACATGTTGGACTCACTCTGTTTTGTGAACACTCTCATGCTCCCACAGTTTTGGACCTCTTTGTTTGGACCTCCTTGTTTGGACCTTCTTGTTTGGACCTCCTTGTTTGGACCTTCTTGTTTGGACCTTCTTGTTTGGACCTCCTTGTTTGGACCT